GGGTCAAAATTAAACCACAAGGGGACCGCAGGTTTGGTCCTTGGTCCAATTTACCAGGGTTCCATTGTGGCTACATATTTTTGACCCACAGCCATGACTGCCCGTCCAGAGCTTTCGCCAGGACGCCATTGGCCTTCACGACCGCTTCAACCGCAACAACCAGGTGAAGGCGCTCTGTGGATGCAACTGAAGGGCTGGCTCGACATAGTGTTTCTGTATGGGTGTGTGTGTGTGCGCGCGTGTGCGCGTGTTGTTCGTCGTCGGCGGCGGCGGCGGCGTCGTCGTTTGTGGTGGTGGTGGTGGTGGTGGTGGTGGTGGTGGTGGTGGTGGTGGTGGTGGTGGTGGTGGTGGTGGTGGTGGTGGTCGTGGTGGTGGTGGTGGTGGCTGCTGCTGCTGCTGCTGCTGCTGCTGCTGCTGTCGGTTTCGGAGGTGGCGGTGTTTTTTGTACTTTGCTTACAACAGCGGAATGTGTTTTTTAGTTCAACAAGCTTGTCCCGCTTGGAATCTGTTTAGCTTGTTGGCACTGCTTTAGCATTCTGCCCCTGCATTTTTCCCAAGGACGTAGTTGAGGGAGAACGGGTTGAAGCTGACAGGGCGCACCCATCCACCGATCAATATGTAATGTTCAATGTTCACCGCATCTTGGCGTCACGCGTCTCTTTTTGGAGTTGTGATCCGCAGGACATCTCCTACGCTTTGAATGACGAGGTGACCCGCAAATTCGTGCAGGCGCAATGTGAAGCTTCTCCTTCACGAGTTGGCCAAGCTGTAGCGGAGAGATGTCAGCTCAGTGCTTAATGCTGCAAGTGAGGAAGTGCAAGGGGGGGATGAATCGCCGGATGGTGGGATATCGAACATATATTTGTACCAACGGGTTTCGGGGCCCCCGCTTCACGATTGCTCGGCTTCTGTTCTTGCCAGGCATTGAAGAGGCTCATGAACTCGGCGCAGAAGTACTGGCCGCCGCAGGATCCTTCCCACCTTGCAAATTGAGACGACTGCACGAAAAGGGCGCGTGCATACTGACATTTAGACTTATCCAAACATAATTACACGAATGGAACGACTCAGAACTCACTGACTCATATACATATACACAAGGAAAAATAAATGAAATAAACAAATATAATTATTGAATTTAATTTTTGATAATTAAAAAAATAAATAAATAAACAATGATTTGTTTACAAATATAATAATTAAAATAGATAGAATTAAATATAATTTAAAAACAAAATGAAATATATTTTAAGATTATTATTTTTTTATAAGGTGATATAATGTTTGATTATTTTTATAATAAATAATTAACATAAAATATATGTTTATATTTTAATATAATTTAAAAATTGTTATTTGTTTATTGAATTTAGAAAAAGGCTTGAAGTATTTATTTAAAATGTACGTGGTATTTTGGATTGTTTTGATTATTTGAGAATATATGATATTTATTTGAATTATTTGTAGTTTTCGATTTTTCGTGTTGTAATTTTTTATGTTAATTATTTTTTTTATTTCTTATTTTGATTTTTACGGCTTATTTTTTTTTTTTTATGGATTGGAAATTCCGAAAAACAAATTGGAATATTGGGGGGGAATTGGGTCGTTGCCGATGATTTGGCTTTTAGATTGCTACATGATATTTTTATAATTTTTTGTAATTGTCCGAAAATTATATTGGGTTAATTTTTCGGGAAATTCGAATTGTTTTTTTTTTTTTATATTTTTATTAATTATTATTGTTTTCTTTTTTTTGGTATTTTGTTTTTCTTATTTTTTATTTCTTTCTTTTTTTTTTCTATCTTGTTTTCTTTCTCGTTTCGTTTTCCCTCTTTCCTTCTTTCCTTCTTTCCTTCTTTCCCTCTTTCTCTCTTTTCATTTTATTTCTCTGTTTTTTTTCTGATATTTTTTTAAAAAAATATATTTTGTATTTTGTTTTTCTTTTTTTGTTTCTATCTTTTCATTTCCCTTGCTCTCTGCCTCTTTGTTTCCCTGTCTCTTTGTTACTTAGTCTTTCTGTTTTTGTCTTTCTATTTCTCTTTTTTTTTTTGTGTTTAGTGAGTTTCTATATATCTCTTTGTCTCTTTGTTGTTTCGTGTGTTTTTGTGTGTGTTTTTGTTGTTTTGTTTGTCTGTTCTTGATCTCTTTGTCTGTCGATCTCTTTATATATTGTTGTATTTTTATATTTTCGTATTTCTTTTTATAATTGTATTCATAGTTTTGTCTTTTTATTGTTTGCCGTATTTTTGGAATTTTATATTTCTTTTTTGGTTTCTTATTTAGCTATCTTTTTATATATATATTTTGTATTATTCCCCAATAGCTGAAAGTTTCGGGATCTCAGCCCAGATAGACTCCGGGGTGGTCCGGGGCGGCCCTGAGGTAAGGTTCCATGAGGGTTCCATTAGGATTCCACCAGGGTTCCACCAGGGTTCCACTAGGGTTTCACTAGGGTTCCATCAGGGTTCCATCAGGAATCCACCAAGGTTTTACGAGGTTCTACGAAGGCTACGGGATACGACATATTGTTGGGGATATCAGCAGAGTTTCTTTTTTCTGTTTTTCTTTATCTTTTTTTTTGTTTAATTATTTATTGTTATTTATTTTTATATTCTTTTTATTTCATTTATTTATTGTATGTTTTTATATATTTATATATTTATATATTTATTTATATATATTTATTTATATATATTTATTTATGTATATTTATATTTATATATATATATATTTATTATTATTTATATATATATATTATTATTTGTTTCTTAGAATATGTTGTGTTTTTTATTTACTATATTGGTTATTTATAATTACTAATTTATCATTATGTATTTATTATATATTTATTAATATTTGTGAATCACTATTTGCCTCTACTTGCGTCTGTTTGCCTTCTTCTGTTTGTCATTGCCTACATTTGTTATTTGTATATCGGAATTAATTTGTGATTCTATTTTAATTTATCTTTAATTAATTATTTTTATTTATTTGTTTCTATTTGCCTTTGTTTGCCTATTTTATTTGATCACCTATGTATTTTGTACTCATTTATTTGATTATTTCTATCGATTTACCTTTTTGTTTCTTCCTACTTATCTACTTGCTTACTACTTGCCTACTTGCTTATTACTTATTTGTTTACATATTTATTTATCTAGTCTACTTATGCCTATTTGCTTCTATTTGCTTATCTAACATTGTTTGGCTTATTTTGTCTGCTTATCTGTTTTGTTTATTTGTGTCTTAGTCTTTGCCTACCTAATTGCCGTATTTTGCCTACCTTAACATACCTATTTATTTTGTTAATAATTAATAACCTTATTATAAAATAAAGAGAAAAGGAGAGAGAAAAAGAAAGAATAAAAAGAGAAAAAGAAAGAAAAAGAAAGAAAGAAAGAGAGAACAACAAAGAAAAAAAGAAAAAAACAAAAACAAAAGAAAAATAAAATAAAAAACAAAATAACAAAAAAAAAAAAAAGAAAAAAAAAAAGAATAAAAGAAAGACAGAAAGAGGGGGGATCGGCAAGCAAACAAGCAAGCAAAATGAATAGTGGAAACAACAAAGCAAGAATAGAAAAAAACAGTAACGAAAAAGCAAAATATCGTAAAAACAAAAACAAACAAAGAAAAAGCTAAAAACAAAGACAAATATATAAAGACATTACCAAATACACAGATATAAACACGTAGAAATAGACAAAAAAAAACAAGAAAACACCACCCAAAAGACAGAAAACACAAACAAACAAATAGAAATAAAGAATCACAAACACCAAAACGAAACAAATTAGGATACACAAAGACACACAAAGATAGACAAAAAAGCACAAAGATTACAAAAATAGATAAATATAAATACACAACAACAAACTACAAAACACAAAGAAAAACAAAAATACGGAGACACCCAGCGCCAAATTTTCTCGATTCAAACAAATCCCCAAATTCCCCCAAAATTTGCCCGGTGTTTTTTTCCAAAAATCATCAAATTCTAAAGACATTTATGGGAATAACATCCAAAAATCTAAATATCATATCGCCGAAAACGACCCAAAACTCGAGAAAATTTAGCCGGGTTACACCGCGAATAGTTGTTAAAAACCCCTCGAAATTTCGGGAACACAAACAATTCGGCCAGAGTACCGCTAACATTACGATTCGGCCGGAGTACCGCTACGACGGCTTACCGGTACACGGGAAATACGACCTCGAGCTCGTACCAATATATAAGAGAAAATACATCATTTTAATTATATTTAAAAAAATATATTAATAATATATATATATATATAAATACTCATTTACAATAATTCATCTATATTTTAATACCTTCAAATTTATAATAATATTCACATATATTAATATATTATATAAATCTTTTTTTTTTTTTTAATAATAATAATAATATCTTATAAATTTATATAATCATTAATTTCAAGTAATATTTCCAAATATAATACCTCATCAACATTCTCATAACTTCTCATAATCCTCATAAATTCCTCATCAAAACCTTAATAAAATCATTCCTAATATAAAATAAAATCCTAACATCATATAATAATTATAATATTCATATCACCCCACAATCCTGTAAAAACCCAATAAAATATAATCGTAATAAAAGTTTATAACCCCTTTATCAAATCCCTCGAAAACATCTCAATTCAAAACCGCCCCGAACCACCTTGAAATCTATCCGAACAAAGACCCCAAAATGTTCAACTAATAAAATATTGTATATTACTATGATTCATAATTTATTAGAACCAAGATTCAATAATATAGTTCTCTATTAATTATATCAATCTATAAAATAGTTCAAGTGTGTGTGTTAGTGTATGTCATGGTGAGGTACCGAATTCATGGTTGACAAGTTTCATTCATTGAAGGTCACTAGCTAGGGTCGTGTTCGCCCTCTAGCTTTAGGCTTTGCTCGTAGAAATCCATGTTCTCAGTCAGAAAAGGCAGATATGGATGTCATGCTTGTTAGTTCATTCGCACTGTTTCCTAGCTCTTTGATTGATCCTGATCATCCCTGGGAAGACCTGTCTCAGCGGCATTGGGTGCATCCACGCCAAGCTGCAACCTGCAATGCGCGTGCTCGCCCTGCCCACCCTGCATGCCAAACATAGAATCATTGAGGGTGCCTAGCAGAAATTACCCAACGTATAGCAGGTCCTAACAGGCTTCCCCTGGGGTGCAACTGCGATCCCTCACAGGCTGTGCAGTACCAGGCAGAGCATTCAAGCTGAGACATGCCGGCGGTTCCCATCTTGTGACGGAGTTGCAGGCTTCCTGGGCTCACAGTTGCAAGACACCATCAAAATGCAACGGAGCCGGATCACGTGTGCTGCAAGCGAAATCGCCCGAGCTCTGCGAAAATGATGAAGACAGACTTTGCGAAGGCAGCCAACATTTGTTGCAACACATGGCCATTGGAATTGCTGTTCCCCTGGTTGGGCGGTGCTTGGCCGAAAGTGCAGCTAGCCCAAGTCGGCTCACTGCTAAACGAGACTTTCAGCGAGCCCTTCCAAGATCCTGCATGCACGCAACGGGGCATAGCGAACTGGCCCTCGCTTGGCGCGTTTGCTTTTGGTGTGCCAAGGCTCTGGTCTTCTTGCGTCGCTTCTGCCGTGGCCATGCCCTGGCGCAACAGGAAGTGCGCTGAGGGCGTGGCCAGTAGGGCCCCGCCTCACCCGAGTCTGTGCGCTTCCTCTCCTTCTTGGAATCCCCAAAGCCTTCCCTGAGACTCAGTCAGCAACAAGGGCTCCTTCAAGCCTTTCAGGAAGGCTAAGCCCATCTTAGCCGAAAATGCCAGGAAGGCCCCTTCATATTGGACAGTCGCCATGCAGCAAAGGATCCTTTTCAGCTTCTCCCTGGTGGCCGGCATGAAGGCCGCAGCATCCACCTGGGAAGATCTGGGCCGCTCCTCCTGAGGAGTGGAACTCAAGCCGATTCTGGTGACTGAAGGTGGAAGCAAAAGGAAAAGAAACTCGCAGCTAGCATGTGAGCAGCAAATCGGCGGGTCAGCACACCTGAACGTTGCTTTGGACAGCAAACCATGCAAAGCAACACCACAAACACTACCCTTCTGTTGCAACTGTAGTTGCAAATGGTTGCAGTGCCGGACGCAAGCACCGAAGCACAAGCGTTCAGCATACAGATGACCACGCATATCTAGCATTTGATGTTGATATGTCCCTTTTTCAGCAACCCACAGAATTTGACAGAATGGTCGAACCCGGTCCTGAGGCAGTGGGGCCTCACGGGTCCACTACTTCAGCACAGAGGCGGTTAAAAATGCGAGCCTTGTCCAAGAGGAGCTCTTCCACTTCAGCGCCCGCCAGGGTGGCACGGTGCAAACTCACACGCTGCTCTGCGAAGCGGACGCTCTGTGAGTCTCGCTTTTTCCTGGGAGCACGCGGCACACGCAGATGCTCTCGCCTGGCCTGAAGCACAGCATGTTCCAGCTCTAAGGGCCCGTCGGTGTTGGAAGATGAGGGACATCGCCATGTCTACCAATATTCTCTGCAAAGACAGAGGTCAGACCCTCAATATTTTTGACCTGATGCTCAAGTACCATGGCCAGCAGCAGCAAGGCCAATAGCAGGAGGCTGAATGCGCCCTTTTCATGTTTTTGGTTCCTCTCCCTCTCTCTGTCTCCCTTCTTCCCTCACTCCTTCCCTTCCATTTGATCTGCCCAGAGGCAACGCTGTCGGTAAACTCTTCGAGCCCCTGCATTGCAGCCAAACGTGATTTGCACCGAAGCTAGCCCTTGCAGTCAGCAACTGCGGAAAGCATGCGTGGCGTCTGCTTGCCAGGCCTTTGACAAGCCTTCCGAAATGCTGGGGCGGGCAACCTTTGCACCTGCGGTAGAGCCCCAAGCGCAAGCGAACGCAACAGGTGTTGCATGGGCGTGCGCTGCATGACAGCTTTCAAACGAATCATGGGAACCGTGTGGCTCTCGCCATACGGCTCAACATCAAACAGCCAGGGTTACGCAGGTTTCAGGGGGTATTGGGTCCATGTTTTTGAGCCACAGCCATATATGCTTCCTTGCCTGTCACTTGCACTTCCCGCCTTTGCCATCGGCGGCCTTCTTCTCGGCTTCGGCGCCGGGGCCCGGTGAACTTGGGACGCCAGGGCCCGGTGAACTTGGGACGCCCAGCTGATCCTTCCAGTACTGGTGCAAGCTCCTCGAACCGATGGAACCGTGGTGCATGACATGCGTTACGCCTGACCTTGGCCTTCGCTGGCCTCCCTCTGAAGCAGCGCCCAAGGGGCAGCGCCCAAGGGGAGGCCACAATACCGTACTCACATCAACCGCACGTCAGCGTGGCAAGCACGCTGGCGGGTGCATAAATTAAGTTGGGTCCAGCCTGGCTAGAGTAACCAACTGCGTCTCACGAAACAAACAGGACATGTCGCAAGTCCTGATCTCGTTGAGAATCAGCGCTTGCCCGCTAAGGACCTCAAGCTTTCCGTGCCCCAAAGCATGTCCCACCGCAAACCACATTGAACAACCTCAAGCCACCTCAAACGAGCGCCTCCGTTTCCCTCAAAAACAAATCTCTCCCCCCTCTCGCCTCTTTTCGCAGCCGGTCCTGGCTCCGGCGAAGCTCCTCCGTTTGTGAGGTAGTCTGTTTTTTAGACTGGGGGACCCACTAATCGACTGCGATCCGCGCAAAACCACGGCTTCCCCAAGCCAGGGTCAAAGAGCACATTCTGGATGGTCATTTGCAAGGAAACTGAGCCATTTGCGACAAACCATTCGTTGAAAGAACTAAAGCCGTGGCAACTCCAGCAGTGTGGATGACTGTTCAAACCTCCAGCAGTGCTGCAGTGTCGGCCATGGCTACGGCTAAGGTCTGAACCCCACTGGCTGCGCAACGTGTCACAGTATTTTGCATTCTTGCTGTAGCTTGGTCATGTGCTTCTCTGTGCTGGCCATTGCTGGCCTCCGGCTGGAGCAGCGCAAGCTCAGCACGCCTTTTCCGGTGTCAGGCAGCACGCTTCCAACGCCGGAAGCTCTCACAGCCCCATCGGAGCCCCATCGGCGCCAAGGTGACCAAGTTGCCCGGATCCGTGCAGCTCGACAGTCGCAGCCATTTGCAGTTGTGTCCAGAGTGGCCCATGCAGAGCGAAAGGCTCGTTCTTGAAGGCACGCGTGCCAAGCAACCAGGCCTGCGACGTGCAGACTCGAGTGGACACTTTCGGGGATGCTCTGAACCCTCAAGATTTGGAGTACCCAATGAGCCCATAAACAATCAATCTCTGGGGTTCGCCAAGCTGGCGGCCGGACAGTGCGAACCTAAGGGCTGGCGTCTTCTCGACTTGCCTTCATGTCTGGGATGCGTGTCAACGAGCTCCGGGTGTTCGAATCCATGGTCGCGCCAGAAGTTCCAAGGCCTTGGGATCAGGACCAAACATGACCAGACGACCAAACGACCAAACCCCAGGCACCCCGCCGGCTGAATCAGAACCGCGAAAAACCCACAGAAAAGAAACCACGCTTGTGCCAGGCTACTGTCACTGATCGACGAACCTGCTCATGCCAGAAGCTGCAAGAATTGGCTGGCTTGCAAGCCATCCTGCATGCGCAAGGTCGTTCAAACATTGTTGAACGGCCGACACCGGAATTGCAAGGCAGAACCCCTCGGAAGAGTTCTAGGCGTCCTTCATGGTGTAACGTTGTAACCCCACGGCGCCACTTGAGAACATCTCAAACTTTAGAGGCAAGTGGCTGACTTCCTTTCACTTTTCTCTGCACACTCAGGGCGTGCGCCCACTCCAGCTGTGCTTTGACATGCATAGGAAAGCCAAAGCCACCCGCAACTGAGAGTCAAATACGACAATGATTTTCTCATCACCTTTCCCTTGAGACCAAATCGAAAGGCATCCCCTTACCGAGCTCAGTGCCCTTTTCGGCGCGCCCAAAAAACATCCACGGGTCTCGTTCCTCCTGGAGCGCCACGAGCAACTTCCGCAGCGGCGGCATTTGCCCTGCTGCACTGCAGGCGTTGGCGGCCACGCTGTGGCTGATGGCGTTCTGCGGGGCTAGGGCGAGGCTCAAAGTCAGCTGCCATTGGGCCTGGCAACAAAATAGCTCCCACTTCCCACCAAAAACATGGCAAACTTGCTATAGTTGCTACTAAAACTGCCTTCCGACAACTGTAAAGTCCAGGAACCTCGCAAAAGAGCAAATTAACAAAACCGCCCTGCTTGTTTGGCTGATTCTTTCATCTGCTTCCGCTGGTTCAAAAGCTTTGCAGACGGTCGGTCCAGTAATCACGCACTTCTCACGATTTTTTTGTGCGTCAGGGGTTAATCAGTAGGACCGGCCCAAGGACATTGTTCGAAACAGGTTCCGAAAAGACAGACAAGCACACCAAGCCAACTCAAACCAAAGCCCTTCCGCCTACATGGAAACCTGTCCAACCCCCAAAGGCTGCTGTCGCCTTGCAAGCCAGCATGGCCGAGTTCAAGGTGATCACCGTGCTCCGAAGACCACAAGCCCCCATCTTCGAGAGCGTGGAAAAGGCCTGCCGCCAACCTCAGGGAAGCCGACAACGCCACCTCCTTTTGGATCCTTCTTCCAGCTTTGCCCAAAAAAGGGGACTCAAACACTGCGAATGGAGCTTGGCAAATGCACGCGTCGTTGGTAGACTATGACAGCAACGATGCTTGCTCCCTGGAGGGCCTTAGCCCAAAAGTATCGACCAAGATCAACTTGGAGCACTTCGTGCGTCGGCCCCTACAGGGTGGGCAAAGCACACATGGAACCAGGGTGCATGTCATTCAGACTGGGCCTCTTGAAACAGCCCTCACTCAACCATCACGCTCGGCGAAGGAATCGATTCAGCTACCATGCCCAGCCCAGTCTCTCCATTGCCATGGCCGTCCTGAGGAAGAATCCAGTGCTGCGCCCTGTCCCTTGCAGCAGGCATTGATGGCGGCATTGAACGAGATCTCGTCTGGCTCCTGAATTCAGTTTCAACAAGGACGCGTGTCTGGTAAACTTGTGGTTGGACAAAGGCGTGGGCGGCTTGATTTAGAATGCATCCCAATGGGCTCCAATAATGGCTTAACACCAATATGACCAGTCAATAAGGCTCACATTAATCTCTTGTGATACCATATATGTATATATATATATATATGTATGCAAATTCTTGCACAGCTGTGCCCTTTGATGAAGCATGTTGAAGCAGTGATTGCCTGGCCCTCAAGCCAAAGCCGTGTTCATTGAAACCACCGTCTCGCCCAAGCCTGCTGATGTTCCACAGTCCGTGCACGCAATTTCTGGCACTGGGCGCAGCTTGCTGCCACTGCTTGCTGCGCACCATCTGTTGCCAGGACGTTTCTGCAACCCAGGTGAAAGGCTAAAAAGCACACCTATGAAACGCAGCGCTTTACACAAGGGACAGGCCGATGGCTGCAGAATGGCCTTGTGTTGCCAGGTCCCTTGGAGAGATGCGAACTTGCAGCCACCAAAATAGAACATCAAAAGGCTAGGTCCTCCAGCACAAAGGATAGAATAAGGGTACCAACCTTTTTCTGTAGTCTGTTTTAGTAGGGGAACCCTCCCCCAAAAACGGGCAAAAGGGCACCTGCCTGGGGACCTAGAAGCTGATCAACTCAATGGCCCGGCTCCAGCGACTCTGCAGGCATTGCCCCCAGCAGCTGCAAAGCGCGTCGCCACTGCCGCCCCCGGGCGCAGGCACTGATGGCCTCAAGCAATTCGCGCTTGACGCTGCTGAGAGAGTTGTGGCCGCCATGTTTCAGCGGTTCCAGAAGCTGTGGCTAAGATATGGACGTGGCTCAAAATCAAACTGTCGGGGTTAAGCAGGTTGGCCCATCAAAATCATTTTCAGCTTCTCAAGTTGGGATGGTTGCTCTCGTCTTGCATACCCATCCGGGTCCCTGAAAATCGACGATGAGGTTTTTGAACAATGCCATGTCGCTAGGTTCAGTCAACAAATTGGCAAATAAGATAGATCCCTAGTCACTTGTAGCTCAGTTTTGTGAGGAGAGGTTGTTCCAGTATGCTACAAAGCAGCCGCAATCCCTGCTCAGGCCTTGAAAAGGCCTCGCCGGCTTTGGGCAAAGTGAAGGATGCAAAGCCAAATCAACGCAAACCAGCAGGTTACTAATTGCGGTGCTTGCGCGAAAAAATGTCATTCTATAAGCTGCAGGCCTCAAAATTGCCTACTTATGAAGGGAGGGCCTTGCAAAAACCTCATCCTGATGCGCATCCGCGCAAAACAGCGACTCAGCTCCTCGAAAACCGTGCCAACATCCTACAGGTGGGGGTTGGGAATGGGGCAGCTTTCTCTGTGCCACCACCACCAACACCAAGGTCGGCCCTCACGACAGGTTTGCAGCCATGCTGCGGCATTGTAAGAAATCAAGTCGCGGCGCACAGACTGGGACCTGAGTCAGCCACCCCCTTTGCTGGCTGTCAGTCAGCCACGCACCAAGTCTTTTTAATGTCGCACCGTACATCGGCGGGCTGCTGTGTGGCTGGCCTTCTATCGCGGGTGGCAAGATGCGTTGATTCAGATATTAAAAGCAACAGGAGCTTGCGGGCCCTGCTGAAGAAACAATCATCCCACAACACATGAATCAGGGTTGCTTGGCTCAACAAACGTGAGAAGCCCACCGTGATCTAATGCTCCATGTCAAGTTCTGACGCATTGAGCCCCCAACATGTGATTTCATGTGATATGCAGCTCTTTGATGAAGTTTTGGTTATTATTGCTTGTGTGCACGTGGTTCAAGACTGATTATGGCTGTCCATTCAGCAAAGAAGCTCGAAGTTGGAGAAAATCCAAAGTGCTCGTTCCCACTGGTCTCCTCGCAAGTCCCAGGTTTGAAAGAGACGCCTTATGCCAGCCTTGGTCCCTTGCCTGCTGTTCTGAACACCCGAAGCTCTGTGGGGCTCCTTTGGCGCACGCGCTGATGGCCGAATTGTAGCTGATGTCATCTGCACCCAGCCGTTCGTCCGCAAATAAGCTCAAGAGGTGCAAAGCCAACTGCCATTCGCCTCAGTTGCCAAGGCACTCGTCTGTTCGGTGGCGCAGAACGGGTCATGGCATGGCGTCACGTGCCGTATCGTGCCGGGGGGCCTTCGCAGGCGCAGGCGCTCAGCGCCGCGTTGAAGGTGATGCTGTCGGGCGTCAAGCTCAGCGCTGGCATCGCCGCCCTCAGATGTCAGGTGGCGACGGACCTTGGCCTGACGCCCTGTGTGCCCGAACGGGAGCATCCAAGAAATGATAAGGCTTGGCACACTTCTTCTGTCCAACTCATGCAGCCCAGGTCTTTGCTGGCGAACCCATTGTCAACCAACATCCCATTTGAACAGGGACTCCTTCGCATGTTGGGGGTGGAATACCCCAAAGTTATTCCACCAGGATACTTTGTTGCTGTTGACCCCCTCTGCAAAGAGTTTCGCTCTTTGTGGCACCCACTTCATGTCAACCAACAAGTGTTTTTTTGTCTAAAGATCCACCCCAATAGCCGTCAAGGATAGGTCGGTTCGCTTCACTGCCGAGGCTCAGCAGCACCAAGGCGCGCTGCCACTCCCCACAGCTCTCACAGGCACTGAGGGCTGCATTGCAGGCGATGACCTTGGACGAGATTCCGGCATCGCCATTGACTCGGTTTCCCAAGGTGAAACTTGTGGGGTCATGGGGCGAAACCTTTCTCGCTAAAAAAAGAGGAGAAAAAACAATAAAAACATAAACATACCTTTCTTACCGAGCTGCGTTGCTTCGCACGTGCCGCGCTTGCATCTCCTGAAGCAGGCTGCAAGCCACCTGCCATTCAAGTGTACAAGGCTAACAGCAACCTTTGCGAGTGAACTTCGCGTGGGCAAATCCGCATTGAGACTCCACGTGCTGCCGCATCGAGTTTGCGTGGCCAAGTCGGGTTTTCAGGTTTCTATCCAATGGCTATCTCATTGGGCAAACGACTGTCAAGCTTCCGGGGTAAAACCAAGGCCTGGAACCGAACTGCACCTTTCTAAGGCAGAGTCCGGAGTCCCGCGGTACAGGGCGCGTTAGAATGGGTTGGAGCCGAGCCTCCAAGCCATTTCGAATGGGATGGATGACTTGGCAGGAATTCTTGAAGAATGCAAGCGGAAGGAGGTTTTCGCTGAGGACGGCAGTGCCTAGAGACATTGGGCCCGTCCCTGCCTGCCACTGCCACGCTTTTTCGCAAGCACTGATGGCTGCCTTAACTCGTATGGTTGTTTCTTGCCATAAGCATCTTCAAACTCGTTCCGATGCCTGAAGACGCTATGGTCGAGTCAAAAGCTGCGTGCAGGCAAGACACGCTGAAGCTGATGCCATTGGGGGCCTGGAGGTATGGCGGCGCCCACAGGCCAAGTGCTTACTCACTGCGTGCCACCATGCAGCCTATTGGATTCCACAAGGAACGCATCTCAGCAGAAGGGACCAACAAAGGCTTTAGGTTCCTCTGGGCGCACGCCCTTCCGTTTGGCTTCACCGTTCCCTGGTCTCTCATTAGCGGCCGCTTTGTGTCCAAGCACCTCGGCCAAACCTAGCAGCCACAGAGCAACCCGCCACTCGCTGCATTGGGCACAGGCACTGATGGCCTTGGAGAGCGCGGCAATTTCAACCAAAAGCGAGGTGAGTCACCTGCGTCAACACAAGATCGGGCGCATTTGGGCGCATCTTTGCTTTGCTATGCACGAACCCCAGTAGCAGTCCTGATGGCTTGTTACTTCCTCATTGACCAAGAAACCCGGTGTCAAGGTCAAAGCATTTCGAACCCATGGTGTCACATTGACCCCTGCAGCCGCAACTTTCGGCACTAAAGCGTATTCTTGCAATTTCTTGTCCGGCTTCCAGCTACGTCCCTATTCTCAAAATTTGGACCTTGTTTTGTAGTGCCTTAACAGCAGCATCAATGTAGGAGTATGCTGCTGCCAATTCACATGATCGTTCTGTCTGGCCTTTACCCATCGATGCAGCGGCCCTTTCCGCTGACAAGTTGCGGCATTGCAGCTGATCAAGTCCGGGTGCGGGCCAACAGTGTACATCAGCTGGAGGAGAACCAGGGCAACCTGCATGGACAAGCCACAGAAGTCCGGAGCCTATTCTGGCCTGCGGACCAGTCCCGGACTAGCTGACTAGCCAGCCAGGCCAGAATTGGGCTTGCTTTCGCTTTAGTAACAGGACAGGACTTTACTAGGACAGCAAATTTGTGATTTGAGTGCTGCCTCGATCAAAAGCAGCCATTCCGCTCCACAAATGTCGGAACCGGTTTTCTCATGGGTGCTGCGCAAAAAACACCTTGCACGACATCCGGACATTTATGGCAGAAATGCAGGCCTGCCACTGCTGCCCTTTCTCGCAGGCTGAGATGCAACTGTTGAAGGTGATCCTTGGTGTCACCGAGCGGACAGGGCAATGCCTGGGTGGCTGTGGCAGGTTCGGGAAATCGGGGTAGCTCATGGGAACCACAAAGGTGCAGATATGGCCATGGGTCAAAACCCCATGCCCCAAGTGAAGATCCCGATCCCCACAATAATAGACTAAAATGGAGGTGCACCTAGCCCAAAATGGTGCCAGAGGTTTTGACCCAGAGCCAAACGCGATTCAACCCCCAAGAGCAGCTTTTGTTCAGCGCACTTGCTCCGAGCTGCGCATCGGGATGGATGGTAGCTGCACCCATGGCATCCCTGAGTTCTCAGGTCGCAGTGCCGAGTTTCAATGCCTGAGCCCCACTTTCGACATCGCATCTGGGATTCCATGAACCTTACTAAAGCGATAGATTACAAACAACAAATGCTTAATTGATATCATCCATCTTCCTGTGCAGTGGCAGGCGTGCTGCATGGCGACCCACTGTGACCCACCAACCGTATCGCGGAGTGAGGGAAGGGACCCCCTCTGAATGCCCAGGGTCCAACAAGACCTCATCTAGCGACGGCGATGGGAACTCGCAGTCGGAACTGGCAATCCCAATTCACGAAGTCAGGGTGCAAGAGCTGCAAAGCTGCCAGCCACCTGAGCGGATGAGCCATCCTTCAAATACATCCTACTTGAACTTGCAAGGCGTGTCATGACAGTTCACCTGCTTGCAGCCTAGACTACCCCAAATGAGGACGACAACTGGCTAGTTTCCAGTTGGTCTCCCTGAAAAACAACAAAAAAGGACACCCCGCCAAACACACCCATGACACTTCTCTTGTCTTAACCTGGCACCTGGTTGCAACTGGGCCGCTGCCCCACATTCTCACAGGCACTCACTGCCGCGTTGTAGCTTACGACGTCCCGATGCACTGTGATGCCATCCATCGCCCGCAGAAGACTCACCGCTTGCTCCCACTGGCTACCTACGTATGCGCAAGGCAGGTACATAGGGTGTGTGTGTGTGTGCTGAGATGTTGGGGCTAGCAAAGGTTCAGCTTGGTGCTGTTCTGGGAACAGCGTCGTGACATCAAAGGCGACATGGGGCATCCCATCAGCACTTCCAGCATCGAAACGACCCCAGCATGAAGCAACAACAGCGGAGTTTATAGCCGGCCTCGCTCGCAGGCAGTGATGCTTGCTCCAAAGGCCACTGTATCTGCTCTCACCTGCGGCAGGCACACTCCAGAAATGGAATTGCCGATGCGCCGCGTGCCGGAGAACCAGTGCCTTTCCCGGCTTGGAATTAAGGGCAGTGGACCGGCATTGAGTAAACAGAACCACTGAGCGACCTTCATTCTGCTCGAGCCCTTCGCCACAGAGCCTGAAGCTGGTCCATGGCCAACAGCACCGCCAGCGCGTGCTGCCACTGATCACCTGCCCAAAACTTCATGCGGACGAGGCACAGGCCGGAAGGCGCGGCGAGCGCATCACTTTTTGCAACCGTCGGACGGCGCCCGCCCGGCGCTGGTACCAGCACGTCTGCGCCCATCTTCGGAGATGCCCAGTTTCCCTGGGAGGTGAGGGCTGTCGAGAGGTTGAAACTGAAGGGCATCCCCCGCTTCTGTCGTCCATTCGTGTTGCGCGGCTTAGGCAACTGCTCGCTGACAGCTTCCGTCTTGGGCTGCGTCAGGTTGGACAGCCGCGCCATGGCTCAGAAGCTTGGCAGCTCAATAGCTCTGCTTGGCGGCGCTGCAACGCCACCAGCACAGGTCCTCAATGGTGTTGACCTGTGCATGAGAGCTCAGCATGTCAAAGTGGTCCTGAATTCCCATCCTAGAACACTCCTTCTGACTGAGCACTGCGTAGCACCGCTCTCTTCAACCCAAAGTGTGCCATGGTCAGCCGGAAGCTTTGAACTTGCCTCGTCAGGCGCAGTCATCGAGGGCAAATCTGGGAGCCCACTACATCCCAGTATGCGGCAGTGTCGGCAGCCTGGCATTGTCTGGCACGTGGCAGCGAATGCAGTTTGCTGCGGCGTGCCGTGAAAAGTCTCGCACACCCCCTTCCCGCCCCGGGCAACTAGGTACCCTTTTTTTTTCTGTAGTCTATGTTAGTAGGGGAACCCTCCCGCAAACAAGAGGAGCCCGGGAACCCAAAAGCAAACCAGCCTCACTCCCCATGGCATGTGGATCCCGTTGTTTTCCGGCTCAAGGGTCCGAAGGCAAACCAAGATTTAAGTTGTTCACAGTTGGGAAATCAACCCCAAACAGATGAAGAAGGGGAGCAACCGCGACTCAAGCACAGAGAAACAGGCAAAGGCACGGGTGAAACATGACAGGCCCCGCACTACATGGAAGGCACGAAGTCATCCGATTTATCATGAAGAACCAATCGCAGAAATCCGAAAATGGATCCGCACAAACTACCACTCTCAAATTGGAAACCAGGCATAAGCTCGCTCTACACCCATCTGAAACAAGTCTGAGACACAGTGTTACAACACGATCTGAGTAGACCGTGGTCAGCTGTTCGGATGTTCATGCGCCCTTTTGTTTGGGCCGAGTGTGCTCAGCATATTCATGTCAACGTGCTTCCAGGCTGCTTCCAAATAAGTAGGGCGAACCCCAAGAGGCCACAGACTCTGAAGAGAGGGTTTGTCCTAGAAACACATTGGCACCATTTGTTTGGGTCAGGTGTGCGGCAAAAATGACAATGTTGGCGCACCTGGAACGCCGGGCTGTTCACATGGAGCCGTGCACGTGGCCTTCACAAACTTGCTTCGTAAGCTTGCTTGGATTCGTTAGTTTCTCCACCTATTTTCCCATTCGCAACCAATTGCAACTGGTGACTTTGTGGAAAGGGCCGCGCACGTTGTCAATTGGATGCGTGTGGATGGCAAGTTGGGTGGATTCGCCGCAGGTGTGTGGAGACGGGGCCGGCGCTGCGCTTTTGCGGGGGGCTCGGTGTGGACAAGCCTCGGTCACTTGGTGGGTCTGACGCCTGTCTGAAACAAGTCTGAGACACAGTGTTACCACGATCTGCGTAGACCGGGGTCAGCTGTTCGGATGTTCATGCGCCCTTTTGTTTGGGCCGAGTGTGCTCAGCATATTCATGTCAACGTGCTTCCAGGCTGCTTCCAAATAAGTAGGGCGAACCCCAAGAGGCCACAGACTCTGAAGAGAGGGTTCGTCCTAGAAACACATTGGCACCATTTGTTTGGGTCAGGTGTGCGGCAAAAATGACAATGTTGGCGCACCTGGAACGCCGGGCTGTTCACGTGGAGCCGTGCACGTGGCCTTCACAAACTTCCTTGGTAAGCTTGCTCGGATTCGTTAGTTTCTCCACCTATTTTCCCATTCGCAACAAATTGCAACTGGTGACTTTGTGGAAAGGGCCGCGCGCGTTGTCAATCGGATGCGTGTGGATGGCAAGTTGGGTGGATTCGCCGCAGGTGTGTGGAGACGGGGCCGGCGCTGCGCTTTTGCGGGGGGCTCGGTGTGGACAAGCCTCGGTCACTTGGTGGGTCTGACGCCTGTCCGAAACAAGTCTGAGACACAGTGGAACCACGATCTGCGTAGACCGGGGTCAGCTGTTCGGATGTTCATGCGCCCTTTTGTTTGGGCCGAGTGTGCTCAGCATATTCATGTCAACGTGCTTCCAGGCTGCTTCCAAATAAGTAGGGCGAACCCCAAGAGGCTACAGCTTCTGAAGAGAGGGTTTGTCCTAGACACATTGGCACCGTTTGTTCGGGTCAGGTAGCGCCGGGCTGTTCACATGGAGCCGGGCATGTCACGAGCGTCCACCGCGCCAGTCTCGCTCGCCGGCATGTCACGAACGTCCACCGCGACAGTCTCGCAAGCGGGCGGTTTCCGCATGTCACGAGCGTCCACCGCGCCAGTCTCGCTCGCGAGCGATTTCCGCATGTCACGAGCGTCCACCGCGCCAGTCTCGCTCGCGGGCGGTTTCCGCATGTCACGAGCGTCCGCTGCGCCAGTCTCGCTCGCGGGCGGTTTCCGCATGTCACGAGCGTCCACCGCGCCAGTCTCGCTCGCGGGCGGTTTCCGCCTTTCACGAGTGTCCACCGCTTCACAGTCTCGCTCGCAGGCGGTTTCCGCATGTCACGAGCGTCCACCGCGCCAGTCTCGCTCGCGGGCGGTTTCCGCATGTCACGAGCGTCCACCGCGCCAGTCTCGCTCGCGGGCGGTTTCCGCATGTCACGAGCGTCCACCGCGCCAGTCTCGCTCGCGGGCGGTTTCCGCATGTCACGAGCCTCCACCGCGCCGGTTTCAGTCTCGCTCGGGGGCGAGCGCCAGTCTCGCTCGCGGGCGGTTTCCCCATGTCACAAGCGTCCACCGCGCCAGTCTCGCTCGCGGGCGGTTTCCGCCTGTCACGAGCGTCCACCGCGCCAGTCTCGCTCGCGGGCGGTTTCCGCATGTCACGAGCGTCCACCGCGCCAGTCTCGCTCGCGGGCGGTTTCCGCCTGTCACGAGCGTCCACCGCGCCAGTCTCGCTCGCGGGCGGTTTCCGCCTGTCACGAGCGTCCACCGCGCCAGTCTCGCTCGCGGGCGGTTTCCGCATGTCACGAGCGTCCACCGCGCCAGTCTCGCTCGCGGGCGGTTTCCGCATGTCACGAGCGTCCCCCGCGCCAGAACGGTTTCCGCGTGTCACGAGCGTCCACCGTGCCAGTCTCGTTCGCGGGCGGTTTGCGCGTGTCACAAGCGTCCACCGCCCCAGTCTCGCTTGCGGGCGGTTTCCGCATGTCACGAGCGTCCACCGCGCCAGTCTCGCTCGCGGGCGGTTTCCGCATGTCACGAGCCTCCGCTGCGCCAGTCTCGCTCGCGGGCGCTTTCCGAATGTCACGAGCGTCCATCGCGCCAGTCTCGCTCGCAGGCGGTTTCCGCATGTCACAACGTTCACCGAGCCCGTCTCGCTCGCGGTTTCCGCATGTCACGAGCGTCCACCGCGCCAGTCTCGCTCGCGGGCGGTTTCCCCATGTCACGAGCGTCCACCGCGCCAGTCTCGCTCGCGGGCGGTTTCCGCCTGTCACGAGCGTCCACCGCGCCAGTCTCGCTCGCGGGCGGTTTCCGCCTGTAGTGTTCACCGCGCCAGTCCCGCTCGCGGGCGGTTTGCGCCTGTCACGAGCGTCCGCTGCGCCAGTCTCGCTCGCGGGCGGTTTCCGCGTGTCACGAGCGTCCACCGCGCCAGTCTTGCTCGCGGGCGGATTCCGCATGTCACGAGCGTCCACCGCGCCAGTCTCGCTCGCGGGCGGTTTCCGCATGTCACGAGCGTCCCCCGCGCCAGTCTCGCTCGCGAACGGTTTCCGCGTGTCACGAGCGTCCACCGCGCCAGTCTTGCTCGCGGGCGGTTTCCGCATGTCACGAGCGTCCACCGCGCCAGTCTCGCTCGCGGGCGGTTTAAACCGCATGTCACGAGCATGCACCGCGCCAGTCTCGCTCCCGGGCGGTTTCCGCATGTCACAAGCGTCCACCGCGCCAGTCTCGCTCGCGGGCGGTTTCCGCATGTCACGAGCGTCCACCGCGCCAGTCTCGCTCGCGGGCGGTTTCCCCATGTCACAAGCGTCCACCACGCCAGTCTCGCTCCCGGGCGGTTTCCGCCTGTCACGAGCGTCCACCGCGCCAGTGGGCGGTTTCCGCATCTCACGAGCGTCCACCGCGCCAGTCTCGCTCGCGGGCGGTTTCCGCCTGTCAGGAGCGTCCACCGCGCCAGTCTCGCTCGCGGGCGGTTTCGGCCTGTCACGAGCGTCCTCCGCGCCAGTCTCGCCCGCGCCCGTCTCGTTTCCGCTTGTCACGAGCGTCCACCGCGCCAGTCTTGCTCGCGGGCGGTTTCCGCATGTCACGAGCGTCCACCGCGCCAGTCTCGCTCGCGGGCGGTTTCCGCATGTCACGAGCGTCCACCGCGCCAGTCTCGCTCGCGGGCGGTTTCCGCATGTCACGAGCGTCCACCGCGCCAGTCTCACTCGAGGGCGGTTTCGGCCTGTCACGAGCGTCCTCCGCGCCAGTCTCGCCCGCGCCCGTCTCGTTTCCGCTTGTCACGAGCGTCCACCGCGCCAGTCTCGCTCGCGGGCGGTTTCGGCCTGTCACGAGCGTCCCCCCGCGCCCGTCTCGCTCGGGGGCGGTTTCGGCCTGTCACGAGTGTCCCCCGCGCCCGTCTCGCTCGGGGGCGGTTTCCGCTTGTCACGAGCGTCCACCGCGCCAGTCTCGCTCGCGGGCGGTTTCCGCTTGTCACGAGCGTCCACCGCGCCAGTCTCGCTCGAGGGCGGTTTCCGCCTGTCGCGAGCGTCCACCGCGCCAGTCTCGCTCGGGGGCGGTTTCGGCCTTTCACGAGCGTCCCCCGCGCCCGTCTCGCTCGGGGGCGGTTTCGCCCTGTCACGAGCGTCCCCCGCGCCCGTCTCGCTCGGGGGCGGTTTCCGCTTGTCACGAGCGTCCACCGCGCCAGTCTCGCTCGCGGGCGGTTTCCGCTTGTCGCGAGCGTCCACCGCGCCAGTCTCGCTCAAGGGCGGTTTCCGCCTGTCACGAGCGTCCACCGCGCCAGTCTCGCTCGGGGGCGGTTTCGGCCTGTCACGAGCGTCCCCCGCACCCGTCTCACTCGGGGGCGGTTTCGTCGTCCCCCGCGCCCGTCTTGCTCGGGGGCGGTTTCGGTCTGTCACGAACGTGCCCCGCGCCCGTCTCGCTCGGGGGCGGTTTCCGCTTGTCACGAGCGTCCACCGCGCCAGTCTCGCTCGAGGGCGGTTTCCGCTTGTCACGAGCGTCCACCGCGCCCGTCTCGCTCGGTGGGGGTTTCGGCCTGTCACGAGCGTCCCCCGCGCCCGTCTCGCTCGGGGGCGGTTTCCGCTTGTCACGAGCGTCCACCGCGCCAGTCTCGCTCGAAAGCGGTTTCCGCCTGTCACGAGCGTCCACCGCGCCAGTCTCGCTCGAACGCGGTTTCCGCCTGTCACGAGCGTCCCCCGCGCCCGTCTTGCTCGGGGGCGGTTTCGGCTTGTCACGAGCGTCCCCCGCGCCCGTCTCGCTCGGGGGCCGTCTCGCTCGGGGGCGGTTCGAGCGTCCACCGCGCCAGTCTCGCTCGCGGGCGGTTTCCGCATGTCACGAGCGTCCACCGCGCCAGTCTCGCTCGGGGGCGGTTTCGGCCTGTCACGAGCGTCCCCCGCGCCCGTCTCGCTCAGGGGCGGTTTCGGAGCGTCCCCCGCGCCAGCCTCGCTCGCGGGCGGTTTCCGCTTGTCACGAGCGTCCACCGCGCCAGTCTCGCTCGGGGGCGGTTTCGGCCTGTCACCGCGCCAGTCTCGCTCTCGGGGGCGGTTTCGGCCTGTCACGAGCGTCCCCCGCGCCCGTCCCGCTCGGGGGCGGTTTCGGCCTGTCACGAGCGTCCCCCGCGCCCGTCTCGCTCGCGGACGGTTTCGGCCTGTCACGAGCGTCCCCCGCGCCAGTCTCGCTCGGGGGGCGGTTTCCGCTTGTCACGAGCGTCCACCGCGCCAGTCTCGTTCGCGCGCGGTTTCCGCATGTCACGAGCGTCCACCGTGCCAGTCTCGCTCGGGGGCGGTTTCGGCCTGTCACGAGCGTCCCCCGGGCCCGTCTCGCTTGGGGGCGGTTTCGGCCTCTCACGAGCGTCCCCCGCGCCAGTCTCGCTCGCGGGCGGTTTCCGCATGTCACGAGCGTCCACCGTGACAGTCTCGCTCGGGGGCGGTTTCGGGCCTGTCGGGGGCGGTTTCGGCCTCTCACGAGCGTCCCCCACGAGCGTCCACCGCGCCAGTCTCGCTGGGGGGCGGTTTCGGCCTGTCACGAGCGTCCCCCGCGCCCGTCTTGCTCGGGGGCGGTTTCGGCCTGTCACGCGTCCCCCGCGCCCGTCTCGCTCGGGGGCGGTTTCGGCCTGTCACGAGCGGCCCCCGCGCCCGTCTCGCTCGAGGGCGGTTTCGGCCTGTCACGAGCGTCCCGGCGCCCGTCTCGCTCGGGGGCGGTTTCGGCCTGTCACGAGCGTCCCCCGCGCCCGTCTCGCTCGGGGGCGGTTTCGGCCTGTCACGAGCGTCCCCCGCGCCAGTCTCGCTCGGGGGGCCTGTCACGAGCGTCCCCCGCGCCCGTCTGGCTCGCGGGCGGTTTCGGCCTGTCACGAGCGTCCCCCGCGCCAGTCTCGCTCGGGGGCGGTTTCCGCTTGTGACGAGCGTCCACCGCGCCAGTCTCGCGCACCCAGTCTGCACCACACCGCCTTCCCCCCAGCCAGCCTCGTACGCCCGGTCTGCACCCCCAGCCAGCATCGCACGCCCGGTCTGCAGCACAACGAAATGGAAATCCCTTCTTATCTCCGTCGTCACAGCTTGTATCGCTCCCAGGCACCTTAAGAGAAAACCTAAAGCAGAACCCAAGCATCAGAGATGCTTTTGGGAAAAAGAAACGGTGAGAACGGGCACCTAGCTGGGGGACCCAGGCAGCCCATTGCGGTTCACGACGCCTGACGGAGCCCGCCTCGCAGGTGCCGATGGCACATCCGTAGCTCACCGCCTTAGGCCGGAAGCCATCCGAAAGCTGGGCCCTGGGCACGAGCTTCCGCTGGGTAGAAAGGCTGAGCGGATGCAGTCGCAATCTAGATGTTTTTTGGGCCTAGGATATTTTTTTCATCCAACTAGAACCAAACGCACCGGCTTTCATTGCCCACACCCCGCATGCCCATTTCCAGCAACCTGCCAAGTGGAATGAAAGCGCCCTGGCGGAACGTCCCAATGCTCTGCTGCTCGGGTGCAGTTGGAGAGAGCCGATGCGCTGAAAGACTGCCAAGCAGACTCCACGCCGCTTGCCTGGGCGCCGAGCAAACTTTCAGAACTGGGCACCGCAGATGAATAACCCCCTTGATTCATAGGGGCTGCCCCTTTAGTGGAGAGTCATCACTATTGGAGGTGAGCACCTACCAATAAACCGGTTTATATCTCTCCGGGGTCAACATTATCGTTGGTTGTGGGTCAACAAATGGAGCCCTGGTAAATGGAAAGAAGGACGATTTAACCTGCGGTCCAATTCCTGTGCTCTATTTTGACCCATACCCAGTTATCCATTTTCTCGGTCACTGCGCGCACCGTCCCACAGCACTCTACACAGGGATAAGCACCGCACCAGGCGGGCCTGGCGCCCAGCATTGAGTTGAAGCCTGGGCCATTTTCAGTGGCTACTGTGGGTGGACGAGATCCGTTTCGCAGCACTTGGAAACCATGGCTGAAACCAGAGCGTTGCTTGGAACTTTCAGGGGGATCATCAGAAACCAGGGCTTCTTAGGTGGTGCGACATGGATTTCGTCCGGACAGGATGCCGCTAAGCCCAACACTGATGGTGTCTTGGTGGACATGGCCCTCCATGTCCTTGAAGATGTTTAGCCTTGGCTTTGCATTTTAGGGCAACAACGAGGTGGTCCACATTCGCGAGACGCTCTCTTGCCACTGCCGCATGCCATGTTGGATTCTGGTTTACTGACTCTGACAACTCCCAGCTCGACAAGCCATTCAAATGACTAAAAGTTGAACCTTGTACAGTCATCCTGCAGGCCTCTTGGGCTTCTGTGCCTTCATCCAATCGAGTCTCCTTACAAAGTGTCACTGCCTCCATCGTGCTGTGCGGTCCAGCGGCCCGTGACACCATCTGCCCTTCAAAGCCAGCAGAGCACTGCTGTAGGTGAGCAAGTTGGGCTGCAGCAAGGCCTGTGTGAAAAAAAACAGACAGGATTGACAACACATACAATCAAGTATGACACATCTCAGCCTTGTCGCTTTATCATGGAGGGGATTGTGGAGAAATCGCTATGGGCATGCATTGCGTTGCTCGTCAACCTGGGAGCTTCACCTGTGGCTGCCCTTTAGCCGCTGGCAAAGGAGCAAGACAGGATTCACCAGACAGCATGGGGCACCCACAACGCCAACAGTTGCCAGCCAAAGGCATGCTGCTGTATATCTCTGGCCCCATCCTCCAAATCAACACGACAGCGGCTCCAGACGCTCACTCCTTGCCAAGACCCTGAGCCTCTTGAGCCCTTGTGCCTACCCAAACGCCCCGCCTGGCCTGCACAAACACCAAAAAATGTTACTCAAATATCTGACTCCTGTGCATCTGTGCAACCTGCCTGGGCCATGGCTACCAGGAGCCACATGGAAGAAGTCCAGGGCCGAGGGTAACTCAAAAGCGCCTCAGAAAGAGGCATTCATTCTGCCAGGGGCGGGAGCAAGCATCTGAACCTCTGAAACGCCTCACAAAGCCATGTCGACATCGGCACAGCACTCAGGAAAGCGACCGCCAACGCGTTTCAAAGTCTCAAAGCATTGCGTTGTGGCAACACGTAGTATTGGCACTGCGGCCGTTGTCTTCCAAGGCTCGTTGTAGCTCACCACATCTGCGCTGCCTTGCCCAAAGGGCAGCAAGACAAGTGCCGCACCCATAACAAAACCACTACGGCTGCTCAGTTGTGTCCTGCAGTAGCTACATGCTAACTCCCGGCTTCCAAGACGGCACTTGGCTTTTACATGGAGCATGTCATGCTCATTGGGGCCAGTATGGCTCTGATCTATCACAGGCCTGGGCAATCTGTTGCTCTTTATTGGGTCAGTTCGAGGTTTGGCTTCGGGTTGCTGGGCCTCCTCTCCCTGGCTGACCCCACAGGTCACCTGCCTCCTAGCCCGCGCCTCCACGTCTGAGGTCTGACGCCAGGCGCCATTGGCAAGCCACAGCCTTACTCAGGAACGGGGGAATCAAGCAGTCCATGTTCATTTTCCCTTGTCATCCTGCGAAGCTTCCGCAGTCCAAAGCCGCACCACCCCACCACCTGTCAGCTCATTCCAGGCTCCAGGCGTTGCGGCTGAACATGTTGGGCTCGACCTCCGTGGAAGGAACCCGCGCAATGCATTGGAAGGCCGACAGCAAGCAGAGATTGACTCTAACCCCCCCCCCCAAAACAAAAAAAAATGAAAAAACAGAAGGATAAATTGGCATCCAATCAATGGGAAGCTCTGCTTGTCCCAAGAATTTGGCCCTGTATCACTTTTGCTGACCCGTATTTTGAAAAAGCTGGCGGCACGCACCGAGAACACTGGCTCTGCCTGGTCAAAAACAACATGCTCACAGCCTGAGGTCATTGGACGGAAGCCAAGGCTACGGCAAGCTGCACGGGCATTGCAAAAAACAGCAGCGTCGCCATCTCCCAGTATGCTGCCTGCGCCGTGGTGCCCAAAGCTTACAAACGCTAGGCTCGTGCTGGGCTGTGATAATGTGGGATCCCGCATCCCAATCGCAATCCGTAGTGGGACGCTACAAGGGCACCCACTACCATCTGGCATAAGGATTGGTGATTCAGAGTTGAGTTTGAACACCAAGTTGTGTGGCTTGGCTCAAGGATCAAGGAACTTGCCAACGCCGGCAATATGAAATGCCGTCAGTTCAGGGAAAGTAAGCCATGCGCCCTCCGAGCCCCTGCCTGGCTGCAGCCGCTGATGGCACCGGTGAACCCTCAGCCGCGCAGCTTGGCCCCAACGCTTGGCATGGGTGGCCTACATTTGAGACATTCGAGTAGCGGCCTTCGCAATGCCACTCTTGACTTACGCGCCAAATATCGAAATACCTTCTGATGCCTGCTGTATGCTGGATGATTGACGTGTGACCTCAATGGTTTGCTTCCGACTTCCTCTTTCTGTTTGTTCATGTCATTTGGGCAGAAGCTTCCCGGGGGCACCTTGCTGACTAGATTTATAGGGTGTTGACTCTTTGTGGCCTAGGCCATAGCTGCAAATGAGAATCCAACCACGTCCAGGCCCTTCCGCAGCAGGTACAATGGCAGCTCCCACTGGCAGCCCTTCTCTGAAGCACTTACGGCGGAGTTAAAGCCTTGGCAGCAGCGCGGGTGTGTGTGTTGACTTCCAAGCGGCTTCCAGCAACAGCAGGCACACTGAGACCACCCCAAGCGGCTGATACAACAAGCCATTGTACACAATGGCTGTCTGTTCAACTGCTTGTTTTTATGAACATGGGAGGTGCTTACATGAAGGAAACTCTTGGCCACGGCTTCCATTTCTGCGCTAGCCAGGCTGGCCAACACAGTCAGCTCAGCTTTCCAGGGGCGAGTGGCTGACCACATCAGGCACTGCTTGTAGGAAGAACCTCAGCCAGCCACATGCCCGTTGACATGTTGGCGGCTCAACTTCCAACGTTTGCCCAGCTGCATGGACTGAAGCAAAGACAGCGCCACGGGCCAGTCAGCGTTCCTCGGCTACTCTTGGACCTTGCAGCGAGTGCTGGCGACCCTGCGCTGCCATACCAGCGCACTTGCGCCCTCACCCATGTGCAGCAAGACACGCTGGTGCAGCGTAAGGCATAGCTGGGCAGAAAGCGGCCCCTTCGCATGCAGTGATGGTGGAATTGTACCTGGGGATGGGTGATTGACAGTTGTGAGAGTGGATGGCCTATAACTAACGCATCCGGAAGTTAAACTGTGGCCGATCTCGACATACCATGCGTCAGTGGACCCGCGCTAGGTAGCAACCAGTGCCTTCACGTTGATCTGCCAAACTAGATGACATGCCAAGCGCTGTTCTGGCCCCGCAGTGACTCAACAGCGTCACGCACCATTCAAACATGAATCCAAGCAGATTCCACGGACCTACCAAATTGTGGGCAAGGCCCTCTGCAAGGCTCTTTAGCCGCACATGTCACGCAGCCGGAGCCTGAGAGGAGGCTGCTGGAAGACTCTACAAGGGACCCTGCGCGCTCCGTTGGTAGAGGGCAGCCTTCAACTGGCGCACGTCACCAGGCTCCTGCGGCTTGGCTGACTTCAAAGGCGATCTGTTGGCACATGCGTCAGAAAGGACCAGGGCTGGGCCGGTGCAGCAAAGCTGCTGCCTTTCAAACATTTTTCAAAAGGATTACTACAACAAACGAGGGCCGAATAACTGAAAGCTCTGGTGAAGTTGTCACTTTGGGGCAGAAGGTTCAGAATACACTTTACCCGACTCACAGGTTTCTGGGCGTGGGTGTCAGCATGTGGTACTCTGAGTTGGCACAAGCTGGGACAAAGGTGGCCATCCCAAGACCTGACAAAATAGAACGTCACATATGGTGCAGTGAAAGGCATGCCTGATCCGTCCCTCACCCAGAAATGTGCTCTCACTTCCGGGCGTCCCTACCCATTCACCCTGGCACACGTTTGGGTGTGTCTTTTGAGGGCACCCTTTGTGCTGCCTGAAAAGACTCTGACCATACCAACCAGGAAATTGAGCAAAGTGCCTGGCTGCGTCGATTCGCAAAGCTTGTCCCCGCTCCTGGCACTGCAGGGCACAGCCGCCAAGATGTCCAAAGCCCTGCGCCAACTCAGCACGTTGATGATGCTGTTCGCCGTGATGGTGCTGCTAGAGACCTAAGTCCACTTCTCAAGTTTAGAACCCACCAAGCAACAAAGGGTGTCACTAACCAAACGAGAGTTTGTCAAGCATCCGCCAGGGGCAACGTGGCTTCCTGTCCGAGGGGGGGATCACATCATGCCAGCAGGCCAAGGACCAAAGCCAAGTGGCCGAGTTTGCTCCCATTCCCCGCGCCAAGAAGAGCGCATGCTGCCAGCTACTCACGCTGCAGGCGCTGATGGTGGCATTGTAGCCTTATGGCTCCAAGAAGCCATTCGAGTCAAGCTCCAACACTGCGGCTTGCCGCAACAAGCCATGCCTATTTGTGGACCCCAAAACATGTGCATGAGTGCAACTCGCGCCCATGCATTGCTGGTGGCTGACTTGCGAAGCATCATGTTTGCATAACTATGTCTGCTTTCCATTCTGCTTCCATGACAGGGGCCCTGATCTCCAATTTACACTACCTGCTTCGCCTGCACCTGAATGTCAGCCAGGCCACTGATGGTGTCGGCTTCCGACCCCACCAGCTGCAATGCTGACGCCCATTGGCCTCAGCTGCGGTCTCATCAAAATATATATATATATATATTTCAAACATATCCTCGAATACACGTGTAATGGAAGAACTGCAGGCAACGAAAGAGGGTCAAATAATGTGTCAATTGCTCCGCCTGCCAGCCCTGCTTCATGTTTCAATGCATGCACATAACTATATCTATACACACATACATGTGCGCATTTATATGTATGGATGTATGTAGTGTCTGGGCAATTCAGGGCCTCATGTGCCATCCAAGCAGCCACCCTTAGCCAACGCACTGATAGCGGCATTGGATGCCTCAGGCAAACAGCCCATGCCAAACTCCGAGGCGGGACAATGAAAGAGTCTAGCTGGGCGCAGCCAACATTCCCAAGAACGCTGAATGAATGGATGAATGGACTCTGATATGAATCGCCACTCGCATATGTAAAGAAGCTCCACAGGCAGCTGCCGTCCGCCGTCCGCCCGGTGACAGAAATGCGGCCTGCGGGCAATCGCATCGCCCCGCACTGCTCGCACAGGCAGGCCACGCAGCA